TACAAGATTTGGGATGTACTTATGCTAAACATTATTCAGTCAGTATTTATCTGAAATTTAATTTTACCTGGGTGACCTATTTTTTAATTTTTAGCTTTAATTTTAGTAAAAGATGCATAGCATAAAGTTTACCGTCTTTACCATTTTTAAGTGTATAATTCAATAGTGTTAAGTATATTCACATTGTTATGCAACCAATCTGCAAACTTTTTCATACCACAAAACTGAAAGTCTATACTCATTAAACAGAAAACTTCCATTCCCTCCTCCTCCTAGCCTCTGGAAACCACCAGTCTTTCTGTTTCTATGAATTTGACTACACTAGATTATCTCATATAAGTGGAATCATAAAGTTATGTTTGTTTTTCTGTGACTGTTTCATTTCACTCTATGTTGTAGCATGTGTCATAATTTCCTTCCTTTTTAAGGCTGAAAAACATTTCATTGTATGTATACAGCACATTTTGTTTATCCAGTTATCCACTGATGGACACTTGAGTTGCTTCCACTTCTTAGCTATTGTAAATAGCTGCTATGAACATGGGTGTGCAAATATCATTTCAAGATCCATATATTTTTACACCCAGAAGTGGGATTGCTTGATCATATAGTGATTCTATTTTTATTTTTTTGAGGAACCTCTATATCGTTTTCCATAGTGGCTTTATGATTTTACATGTCTACCAACAATCCACAAGGGTTCTTATTTCTCTACATCCTCACCAACACCTTTTTTTTCTGGTAGTCATCCTAATAAGTGTGAGGTGATGTAGTTTTGATTTTGCATCTCCCTAATGATTAGTGATGTTGAGCATCTTTTCATATGCTTTTTGGCCATTTGTATATCCTCTTTGGAGAAATATCTAAAGTCCTTTGCCCTTTCATGAATTGGGTCATTTGCATTTTTTGGTTGTTGTTTTAGGAGTTCTTTATATATCCTGGGTATTAACTCCAGATAAGGTGTGATTTATAAATGTTTTCTCTGATTCTGTAGATTGCTTTTCCCCCCTGTTGATTGTGTCCTTTGATTCACAGAAGTTTTGAGTTTTGATGTAGTCCAGTTGATCTATTTTTACTTTTATTGCATGTGCTTTTGGTGTCATTTCCAAGAAATCTTTGGAAATTCTAATGTCATGAAGCCTTTCCCCTACGTTTTCTTCTAAGAGTTTTGTTATTTAGCTCATACATTTAGGTCCTTGATCCACTTTGTGTTAATTTTTTTGTACACGGCATAAGGTAAGAGTCCAACTTAACTCTTTTGCATGTGGATATCCAGTTTTCTCAACATCACTTGTTGAAAAGACTGTCCTTTTCCCATTGAGTGGTATTGGCATCCTTGCTAAAGATTATTTGATTATATACATGAAGATTTATTTCTTGGCTCTCTATTCTATCCCATTGGTCTATATATCTGTCTTTATGCCAGTACCACACTGTTTTGATTACTGTAGCTTTGTAATAAGATTTGAAGTTAGGAAGTGTGATACCTCTAACTTTGTTCTTCTCTTATAAGATTGTTTGGCTAGTCTCTTGAGACTCAATGTAAATTTTAGCATAAAATTTTTTATTTTTGATGAAATTTACCTATTTCTGCAAAAAATACCACTGGGAAGTGATAGGCATTGCATTAAGTATGTAGATAGCTTTGTGTAGTAGAGACATTTAACAATATTAAATCTTCCAGTTCAGGAATGTGGATGTCTTACTATTTATTTGTGTCTTTTAAAATTCTTTCAGCAATGTCCCACAGTTTTTAGTGAACAAGTCTTTCACCTTGGTTAATTTTATTCACAGGAATTTTATTCTTTTCGGTGCTATTGTAAATGAAATTGTTTTCTTAATTTAATTTCCAAATTGTTCATTGTCAGTGGATAGAAACATAACTGATTTTTTGTTGTTGTTGATTATGTATCCAGATTTTTGTGGAATCTTTAGGGTTTTCTACACATAAGATTATGCCATCTACAGAGATTGTTTTACTTCTTCCTTTTTGTTTTGTTTGTTTGTTTTTGTTTTTGGGGTTTTTTTGCGGTACGTGGGCCTCTCACTGTTGTGGCGTCTCCCGTTGCAGAGCACAGCCTCTGGACGCGCAGGCTCAGCGACCATGGCTCACGGGCCCAGCCGCTCTGCGGCATGTGTGATCCTCCCGGACCGGGGCACGACCCGTGTCCCCTGCATCGGCAGGCGGACTCTCAACCACTGCGCCACCAAGGAAGCCCTACTTCTTCCTTTTTAATTTTGATGCTTTTTATTACCTTTTCTTGCCTAACAGCTCTGGCTATGACTTCCAATAGTATGTTGAATAGAAGGAGCAAAAGGGGCTTCCATGTTTTGTTCCTGATCTTAGAGAAAAATATTTTATTTTGCGTATGATGTTAGCTGTGAATTTTTCATATACGATCTTCATAACGTTAGGGTAGTTTCCTTCTATTACTAGTTTGTTGAGTGTTTTTTTTTTTTTTAATCATGGAAAGATGTTGAATTTTGTAAAATACTTTTTCTGTATCAATTGATATGATCACTTGTCACCCCCCACTCTTTATTCTGTTAATGTAGTATATTACACTGATTAATGTTTTTTCCTTTTTTTTTTGCGGTACGCGGCCTGCTCACTGCTGTGGCCTCTCTCGTTGTGGAGCACAGGCTCTGGACGTACAGGCTCAGTGGCCATGGCTCACAGGCCCAGCTGCTCCACGGCATGTGGGATCTTCCTGGACCGGGGCACGAACCTGCGTCCCCTGCATCAGCAGACGGACTCTCAACCACTATGCCACCAGGGAAGCCCACACACTGATTAATTTTTATACATTGAACCATCTTTGCATTCCAATAATAAATCCCATTTAATCATGGTGTAAAATCCTTGTAATGTGCTATTGAATATGATTTACCAGTATTTTGTTGAGTAATTTGGCATTAACATTCATCAGGGATATTGGTCTATAGTTTGTTTGTTTGTTTTCTCTTGTAGTATTTTTGACTTTAGTATCAGGGTAATGCTGGCCTCAAAGAGTGAGTTTGGAAGCATTTGCTCCCCTTCAATTTTTTGGAAGAGTTTGAGGAGGATATTAAATCTTTAAATTTTTGGTAGAATTCACCGGTGAAACCATATGGTCCTAGGCTTTCTTTGGAGTATTTGATTACTAGTTTAATCTCCTTACTAGTTATACATCTGTTCATATTTTGTATTTCTTCATGATTCAGTCTAGTAGGTTGTGTGTTTTTAGGACTTTGTTTCATTTAGTTATCGGAATTATTGGTGTATAATTGTTCATGGCATTCTCCTATAATCCTTTTTATTTTAGTAAAATTGGTTGAGACGTCCCCTCTTTCATTTCTGATTTGAGGCTTTTCTCTTTTTGTATTAGTTAATCTAGCTAAAGCTTTGTCACTTTTGTTAATCTTCTGAAAGAATCAACTACTGTTTTTTGTTGATTTTCTTTATTGTTTTTCTATTTTCTATTCCATTGATTTCTGCTCTAATCTTTATTATTTCATTCCTTCTGCTAGCTTTGGGTTTAGTTATTTCTTTCTTTTCTAGTTCTGAGATCTTTATTTTAACATACACATTTACAGCTATAAATTTTTGCTCTTAGCACTGCTTTGGGTGACATGACTTTTTATTTGCTAAATGTGGCAACCCTACCTATAAACGTTTGTGACTTTTGACTTATATCTTCTCTTGTGCCTTCTCACTTTCTTACTCTGGTGAAACCAGCTGCCATGCTGTGAGCTGCTCTCTAAAGGTCAAAAAAACAGAGGTCTTAGCCCAACACTTAATGAGGAACTGACTCTTGTGAAAAACTGCTTGAAGGAACTTTAAAGTGGATCAACTTCTGGTTGAGTTTTAAGATGAATGCAGGCCTGGTCCACATCTTGGTTGAAGTTCTATGAGAGATCAGAGCCAAAGGACGCTGCTGAGCCATGGTTGGATTCCTGACTCACAGAAACTGAGATAATAGATGTTTGTTGCTTTAAGCCACTAAATTTTGGGGTAATTTGTTATGAGTCAATAGGTAACTAACTGACACTGTGTCTTAACATCTTCTTTGTGTGTACTAGTACACTTTACATGGCTTTTACTTCTGTACATATTTTTCACAATTGTGAGAAATGTCCCTTGAGCATATATTTGATATGTGGGTTACTTAGGGACATGAATTAGAGAATCTGGCATAAAATTAGGTTATTTAAATGACAGTATAGATGCAATAAAGAATGCCTTGTGATTAGGCATTTTATTGGTAATAAAACAAATATATTTATAAGAATTTTCTTGGAACTGCTGGAGAACTTCTGAGAGATTCAGCAGCAGAAAATAAAAGTGAACCATACAATATTTATGGTGTTTAAAATGTGCTTTTTTCAACTTAGTGAACATAATAAAGAACAATGTAACATAATTTTAAAATCCTTGTATATACTGATTACACCAATTATGATGTAGTAATCAATCAAAGACTCCACAGTCATTCAAGATGAGGTCCACACATAGAGAGCAGACTTCTGGTTGCCAAGGGGGAGAGGGTTGGGGGAAGGAGGGAGTGGGAAGTTGGGGTTAGCAGATGTGAGCTATTGTATATAGAATGGATAAACAACAAGGTCCTACTGTATAGCACAGGGAACTATATTCAATATCCTATGATAAAAAATAATGGAAAAGAATATAAAAAAGTAATGTATATATGTATAACTGAATCACTTTGCTATACAGCAGAAATTAACACAACATTGTAAATCAACTATGCTTCAATTTAAATAAATAAATAAATAAATAGAAAGATGAGGTCCACAAATATATCTACAGACGCAGAGATTTGTTCACAGTAAAGTGCTAGGTGAAAAAGGCAGGTTGATTGCAAAGTTTTGCTATCATAAACACTACTGTGATGAACATCTTTGTAGCAAAATTTTTGCACACATCCATGATTTTATTAGTCTTGGTTTTCCAGAGAAACAGAACCAACATGAGAGATACTTATTGTAAGGAATTTGCTCACATGATTTACAGAGGCTGAGAAGTCCATGGTCTGCCGGTGGCAAGCTGAAGACCCAGGAGAGTGAATGAAATCATCCAGTATGAGTCCAAAGGTCTCAGAACCAGGAGAGCCAAGAGTGCCCCAGTCCAATTCTGAGTCCGAAGGCAGAAGACTGATGTCCCAGCTCAAAGACAGTCAGGTACAGAGAAAGAATTCTTTCCTACTCAGCCTTTTATTCTATTCAGGCTTTCAGTGGATCAGATAAAGTTTACCCACATTGGGGAGGGCAATCTGCTTTACTTAGTCTACGAATTCAAATGTTAATCTCATCCAGAAACACACTCACAGACACACCCAGAAATAATGTTTAACCAAATATCTGTGCACCCTGGGGTTCAGTCAGGTCAACACAAAAAAAGAGCCGTCAGGTGGTTATTTACTTAGAATGAATTCTTGGAAGTAAAATTGCAGGGTCCAGTGTATGCCACTTTTCAAGGGTTATGTCTTGGTTTAATCCATTTCTGACCATTCCAGGTGACCACGATAATGAATTTTATCCTTGTCTCCAGTGTCTGCTTGAACCTTTGCAAATCACTAATGCAGGCCTCATAGGAGGGTTTCATCAAACCTCTTGCCTCCAGCCTCTCTACCCTCTTTTCTAATGGAGTGGTTGGCTGGCTAAGTCTGCATCATTCTGCTTCTCTGCTAAATCTACTGCTAGGCAGTACTTTTTTTTTTTTTTTAACATTATATTGCTGACAGGTTCTGCATCAAATATATGTTTACCAGAGAGTATTCTTTGGTTAAAATACACCAGTTTTTCCCTGAGCGTGTGTTAAACAGAACACAACTGTTTATATTCAGAGGAAAACTAACCTGACTTTATCTGTAACTTAATTACCATGAAGTCCCATGTGTGGTCTGCAGAGCTGCATGAATTAATAATGCTGTAATTGCAGAGTTCACATACCAGGGATCGTTACAGCCCTTCTCTAGAGAGCCAGGCTAGCAAACAGGCTTTGCATTAACATATATTCTCTGAGTGGACTTTTTTTTTCTCCCTGAGGCATTTCCCACCTCCACCCCTCCCCAACCCCCTTTTTTATGTCCCTTTTACTCTCCTTGGAAGCAGTCTGTGGCATTCTTATAACTACTGTTTCTCCTCTGGGTGCCTGTTGAAATATCCCCCTAATATTTCTCCATTATAATGCGGGCCGTCACGAGCACAATGTCTTGTTGGTCTGCCTTTGCAGGACGAAGTGCAGAGCTATTCCATTACTCTGGCGTCCATCAGGACAATAAGCCACGAATCTTTTTCAGTGCAGCTCCAGACGGGGCCGCCTTTGTGCTGGAAGGCAGGGAGAGGCAGAAATGTTTCCCCAGTGTGGAGAGAAATCACACGCGGATCCTCAGGTTTCTTCCGCGTGTGCTCTTTGAAATGAGTCATTGCCTCACTTTTAACGAGAGGCCGTGATTGGAAGGAAGGGAAGTTTTCTTTGGTGAAATGATTTAGTCGGAGAGATTGCCCAAGTCCATTAGGGAAAAGATTCCAATATGTGCTTAATTTTCTTTGGAGGATTTGCTAATGATTGGTGGGAGCCCCAGTTCTTATTTATTACTTACTTTTCTTAATAATGAAAAAGAGACCATATGTTGGGTGTGCTGCTTGCTGATAACTCACTTGCAGTAATGACTGGCACGTATGTATATTTTGTACGCTGTGCTATTACGGGGGAAATCCTAAACTCTATTAAGAAATTTGCAGCCTTTGAAGCTGGTACCACTTGGCCTTCAAGGTTTATGCTAATATCAGCTAAACATGTGAGGTGTTAAGTGTTTTATTATATTTTAGAAGAATTTTGAACACTTCTTACCTCACTAGAAACATCAAAATAAATTCCAGGTGGATTAAAGAGTTAAACATTTAAAAACCTTAACTATTAGAAAATCTGGAAGAAAATAGACGTGAATATTTATCAAACCTCCTGAGGGGGAGAATTTTCTAAGCTTAGAATTGATGGACTAAATCACTAAGTATATGATTGATAGATCTGACTTCATAAAAATTTAAAACTTATATACATCAAAAAAAAATCACCAAGATTAAAAAGGAATCAACAAAACTGAGATAATGTTGCAGGAAGTTTAACAAAGGGTAACTTTTTAATAAATATAAATTTGGGAATACAAATACCAGGACCCCAGCAGGTACGTGGAAAAGGACATAAATAGGTAAAAGACAAATGTGAAATATGTTGATAAATAACTGTGGAAATTAAAAAAAAATTTTCCTAAGTAACCAAATAAATGTAGATGAAACAAGAGTGAGGGGTTATTTTCCCCTTCCAAACTTTCCCTATCAAATAGTCTGATCTTTAAAATGAAATAATAATATCTGGTGTTGATGAGGGTGTAGTGAAATGATCACTCTCATTCATTGATTAGGAGAAAGTTAACAGATAACATCCACTTTAAAAAATTTCCTTTAAAATAAAAATGAATTGAAAACAATTTTATATCACGGAACTTTAGAATGGTTTAAAAAATGTTCTTAAGTAAAATTCTTTTCTTTTAATTTTTTTCTAGTTTTTCTAAATTCTCTATAATAATCATGTATTACTATTAACCTGAGGTAAATCCAAGTCTCAGCAACTTCAGCTGTGTGGTGCCATGGAGTCCTCAGTCACCTTTATTTCTTTTCTCTTTTTTTTTTTTTTTTTTTTTTTTTTTTTTTTTTTTTGCTAATGTCAGTTCTCATGCAGATACAGTTTTCTCTTTCTTGGAATCCAAGCCCTGAAGCTTCTACACATAGTCTTATAACCCCCTTTCCTGCCATTAGTATGTGAGTCTTTTCTGACAAGTTTAAGTCCTTTTTTTGGCCTATGGCTCTACTTTCTCCTTCAAATTTGAGTGCTTTCCCCATAAATCTACTTTTAACCCCAGCTTCTTTTTTATTAACTTTTGCACCTTTACGCCGAATGCTTACTTTCTCTGAAACTCAGTTTCCTCATCTACTCCCTGTGCACAATAACCATATCTACCGTTCAGGGTAATCGTGAGAATTTACATAAATGAGAAAACATAAGTAAACGTCCTTTGCAAGCCTTGTGCTGTACGCCAATTTCACTGCTGTTCTGAATACTATCGTTTACCCCGTCTGTATTTGAATCTCAGTGGCCCCAAATGTAGCTGAGTATTTTCTATACGGGGTCCTGATGAACTGTTTCATTTGCACACCCAGCACCACTGGTAGAAGGACAACTTGGTTTTTGCCTTCATTTGGGAAAGCCTGGAGAGGAGAAGGATGTTTCACCTCTGCAGTTTTGGGGAGAGCGTGGTAGAATGTTCCATGCCCTGGAGTCGCTCCTGTTGGTGCAGATGGAAGGAGTTGTTGCAGATAGAAGATGGTGCAGGACTGGAGCACATTTAGAGGGGAGTGATGATTCTTGGGCCTTAGGGCAGAAGGTTGGAGAGTTTTGCCTTTGCTTCTTTGTCTCTTTATTTGTCCTGGGTCAGAATGACCTTGCTGCAGAGGGTCAGTTCATCTTCTCATGGAGTGATAGATTGGTGGATTGCCCTTGACTGAGTGCCCGCCATGATTCACTGGGCACCCCTAGTGCCAGATCAGAGGTCAGAGACCAGGAAGGCAGGACTGCCCTTCAGGAACCTACAGACCAAGGGAGGAACATTGACCTGTATTAACAGATGGTTACCATCAACGTGGCTCCTGCTGCACGTGTGGTCAAGCGCACAGAAGAGCTGGCTGCCAAGTCTGCCCAGGGTGCAGGAGAGGGCAGAGACAAGGACAGGCTAGGGATGGCTTTACAGAGGAAAAAGCCCTCAGAATGAGCTTTGAAAGGTGCAGAGTATTTTTCTAGATAAAGAGGTGAGTTAGACAGATATTCCATTCAGTGGGGAAAGTTCATGCAGAGCCATAGTAGGGTGCAAAACCATAGCATAAGGTGATGGTGAGGACTCAATGTGTCTGGAATACAGCGTGGTGGGACAGATGGGTGTAAGGTGGCAGAGGGTGAGGTTGGCAAGGGCTTACCACTGGGGACAATGTTTATCTTGAAAAGAAACTATAAATCCACAATCTGTTATCCAAAATCCTTGGGGTCAGATGTGCTTTTGGAGTTAGAATTTTTCCAAATTTAGAATGTAATATGGTAATTATATGTATATATCATACATATCCCCAGTGGGGCCTGGGGCAGCACCCTGTAATAATCCTATTAGTTATTCTGACACTGAATAGTCACACCCAAGAAAGAAAGAAAATAAAGAGCCTTACCTTAGTTTAGATCAAGTTTTGCTACCAAATATGTATGAATAAACTTTGAATTTCAGAGATTGTTGAATTTTGAAATCAAGGGTAAGGAGCTTAGTAGGTTTTTCTTTTTTTCAAAAACTGAAGGCAATAGGTGGTCATTAAAAGACTCTGCACAGGGAAGTGTTATAATCTTAATTGGGTGATAGAAAAATGTATGTGCAGCCTTTGTAGAGGGTGAATTGGACGAGAAGGCCAAGGGAATCTGTGATTTTCCCCTGCTCTCTTCTCCTGACCCTGTTGCTTTCTTCGAACCTCGTTTCGACACTTCCTTTAATCACTTCCTGGTGCTCTCCCTCCAGATCCGTGTCTCACACTCTGTATGTCGACTCCTCACATGTTAGTCCTCCTTCCTGGGGAGTGTGAGTTTCCATTCATCTTAAACCCCATCTGCCCCAGGGTCTTCCACTGCTTGTATTGGAAGCCCCTGTCCTTTCTTCCTCAGAGTCCACTTGTCTTTCATTTGCCAATCATCTTCCCTTAGCATTCAGAACTTTGGCATTCCCTAAGAGATCTAAGAGGGCATTTGTAGGTAAGGAAATAGGGGCCCAGAGGGGGATGGAACAGAGCAAAATGGCATTCAAGGTGGTTCTAGAGCCCAACTGCTATGGACTGAATGTTTGTGTCCCTTCAAAATCCATATGTTGAAGCCCAGTCTCCAATGTGATGGTATTTGGAGGTGGGGCCTTTGGACGGTAATTAGGTCATGGGGGTGGAACTCTCATGAATGGGGTTAGTGTCCTTATAAGAAGAGATGTGAGAGAGATGATTACTCTCTCTGCCTTGTGAGGAAGACAGCCATCTACAAACCAGGAAGAGGGATCTCATGAGAACCAACCATGCTGGCACCCTGATCTCAGACTTCCAGCTTCCACCGCCATGAGAAATAATGTCTGCTGTTTAAGCTACCCATTCTATGGTATTTGTTATAGCAGCCTGAACTCACTAACACACCAGGTGTCCTTGACCCTATTCCAGAGTCCTTTCCTCTTCACTGTGCTGTTGGTGAGTTGTAGCATTCTAAGACTTTAGTGTGTACCTGAGCTGACTGTTATTTTTGAGCGACAATTTGAAGGCAGTGTTTGGTGGTTTCTTTTATTCTTCATGATGCTTGACAAGATACCAAAGAAATTGTGGTTTAGATTCTAAGTTAACCTCTTATACTTGATCTTTCTAGCATTTATGAGCTGGAGTCACTATTTCATTCTTAACCAATGATGTTTTGATATACAACAGTATAGTTATTGTTTCTGAATGATTATTTCACAACTTTTAGTTGCATTTTACTAGCTAAAGAGAAGACGGTTTGGCATGGTAAGAACTGACCACAGAAGAAATGCTATAGAGCTCTTCATTATGATGCTGAATCTTCCTTTCCTTTAACGATGAAAAGGAGAGGGTAGGAAGGAAGCTTGTGGAATACTTCTAAAATAACACATCACTTAAAGACTATTATGTAAATAAAATATTGCCTTTTAGCACATAATTTAATGAACGTTCAGTTACTAGATAGAAATGTTAAAAAGAGAAGAGGAAAAATATTAATCTATAAGCAGATTTCAAACGCCCTAAGCAATGTATTTTTTTCAGCTATTTTATTTTCCTTTGCCCCTTGAATTTTCCCTAGCCATTGGAAAAGGAATTACTCCCACAATACTTTGCAATAGGCACATATGAACTATCCTTAAACATATTTCAGGTTATCTATAAATAGCTCACCGGAACAGCACTGTGCTCTTCTTGGGAGTCAGAAAAGCAAGGCAAAAGCCTGAGATCAGCAAAGCCTGTCAGAATATTTCAGGAGAAGAAGTTTCACCCGTTTAGGCCTGGGAATCTCATTTTGGGTCTGATTGTTAGGGGTCTTCTGGTCTGGTTGTTGGAGCTTGTTGGGTGCCTGACGCATGATCGCAGATAATTCCTCTGTGGAAAGGGAAGCGCTTGATCTTAGTTCTGCCACTTGGTAGCCTTGTGAACTTGGGCATGTAACTTTTTCTTCTAGCCGGAGTTTCATCATGTGGCAAACTGATTCACCTGCCTCAAAAGACTGCTGCAGAGTCTAAAGAAGATAATATGGAAATATATAGTGTTGCGCTCAGTACAGAGAAGATGCTCAACAGATGTTGGTCTAATACGGCCTCGTGACACAGTGAGAAAAGTATGGTTTTTGGACTCATGGGCCCTGGGTGCAAAGCCTGCTCCCCCATTTACCCAAGGGGTAAATTAGAGTTAAGTTCCTTAACTTTTCCAAGACTCAGTTTCTTCATCTACAAAATCATGATAACAAGTTGATGAGATAATGATGCTAAGGGTTCAACATTATTATTAAACAAGATTTATTAAGTTCCTATTGTCAACTAGCACTGTTCTGAGCACTGGGGATAGAACAGTACATGAGACTTATTTCTTGCCCTTATGCGCTCGGATCCTAATTCTGGAGACGGATAATTGAACAAACAGTTATATTAGAGTGTGATAAGCACCATATTGGGTCATGACAAGGCTCAAGTGTGAACAACCATTAGGGAACCCAATCCAGAATTGGGGAGTTACAGAGAGATTTTTAAAAGAAGTGATTGCTCAGATGGAACCTGAAAAAAATTCATGAGTTGGCTGGTTGAAGTGTGACTGGAAAGAGTTTGTTATGCAAAAGCATTATCTACAATGCTTTATATTTCTCGCTTAATCCTCATGATGATCCTAAGAAGATAGTTTTATTATTACCCCAATTTTATAGATGAGGAAACTAACGATTAGAGAGCCATGTCCAGATTGACTCTAGAAGGTCCCTTTTGAAGTTTTTGTACAGCTCATGACAACTCTCTTTGTTTTTTGAACGCCTTCCCTTCCCTCCCCCATGCACACGATGGGGTCGCTAGCAGTGGTTTTCTGCCTTATATAACCATTCCTATCTATGGTTGATTAGATCAAGGCTGAACATCTGACCAAGGCTTGACTACATACATTATCTTACCATTCTATGATGCAAATGCTATTTATGCTGAAATTGTTTAAGTAAGGAAACATAGAGGTTAACTTTAAATATAACCTCAAAAAAATAATACACTCAAAATACCATGCACAGTGCCTGGAACATAATAGGTAAGAATGAATGTTAGGTTTATTTCCCCTTATATCCTTTGTTCGGTAGAGTCACGAACAACATGCTGAATTCAACCTAACACCAGCATGGTCAACATATGAGGATCATGTTTTTCCTCACTTATGTTCCCAATTCAGATGTTAACTCTACATTCCAAATTATCTTCAAAAGGCGATTTCTCCTTTATTCAATACCTATTCACTAAAAACTATTTCATTAACTGACAGCTTCTAGAATTTTCCATCAATGGCAATAGAAGCTCCAGGTGATCATATCTTTTCCATTTCCTTGTGAAGCTAAGAAAGGGTGAGAAAGAAATTTACTTTACCAAGAAAATAACAGTGCTCTCAGCAATGCAAATTGAAGAAAACTAAATTACCCTTGAACTAAATTAATCTGTATGAATTAGACTGACATTTAAACTGTTTTCTTTGTATGAATTTTATTATAGTCACCCCAAACATCCTGCTGTATGGGGTGTTAAGTGGTCCATGAATAAAGCCAAAATGCCAAAATTAATAATAGCACAGCTGTGCACAGAGCAAAATTTGAGCTTTAACTCCATTATGATTTTCCTTTTTACAGACTGAATATTGTCACACATACCTTAAGTTTGGGCAAAGGATTTGAGAAGGATGAACCTTCAGACATAGAGCAAGTCATGGATTAAGTACCAAGGTAAGATTAGAACGGACGGGGGCAAGTTATCAGCTTCCAGATGGCATAGAAACCACCTTTCCTTCACAGCTCACTCAGCCCCAATGCTCTGAGCATGCCCTGTTACATCTTGCTATTGGTAAAGCTGCATGTTAACTTCAAACTCCCAGATACAGCCATGCAGCTGGCTCTGCAGTCTCTACTCTAGATTCCTTAATAGTCCTAAGACATCTGGGTTAGTCCATGTTAGAATGACCACAGCCCAGCCCAAAAGAAGCAAGATAATCGTTCACTCTCTTAAGTGGACTTGATACAGCAAAACTTCCACAAATCCGTGAATGGGCTTCCAACCATTGGAGAGCTGTGTGCAAAGCCCATAGGACCATCCCTCCCAGGCCCACATCCTTGTAATCCCCCCAGAATAATAATGCAATAGCCTCTTCCCCTACTGGGAGACATGCATAAGGTTCATATCATTTTATGAAAGCTGTCTACAGCACTCACAATATGCAAATTAGCAGAACAGCCAATATCCCTTCTTACCCTATCTTGAATTATCCCAGAACCTTGAGGTTTACTCTGGAGAGAAAATGTGGCAACCTATAAACCCATTCTCAGCCCCTGTTTTCTTCTATCATTACTTTTGTAGCTATCACATGCCTTTCATTTTGAAAACAGATCATCGTGTGTCCTCCAGGCATCACACCTTTCTTCCTGAATGCCCTGTGCTGCTCCGGGCATCAGGCCATTCCATCTGGTGATAGGACATATGGAAGGGGAAAGGGAAATTCTTTCCTGTGTGTCACCTCTGGGTTCCTGCGTTCCAAGTAATTTAACAGGATACTGGACAAAGCCCTTTCTAGTATTTGGGGAAGGACCTTTCTGCCTCCTCAGAGTTACATCAACCAAGGACTCTCTGAGTCAACACTGACCTAGACTCTGACATTATAACCCTTGGTCCTCTCACATGAGAGCACCACCTTGTCCCCAGGTTGCTGTGTAATAATCAGGTTCTAGAGCCCATGACCTCAGGGACCCTGAAACCATTCCCCTTCTACCTTCACATTTCTGCCCACATTCTGCCCTGGAAGCAAGGTCTTCGAAGTCCTTTGTCCTCTCTGCTTCAAGTCCCCATCCATTTCCTGCCACAGAATGAATAATACTGTTTTTAAGAGTTAAACACTGTTCAATCACATACCAATAGCAATGAAAAGAATGATCCCAAACATAGTGGTCCATGCATAAGGAATGTATGAGGTAGGTTTTCTTAGTGTAATTTTATAGTAGAGGACACGGAGACCTAGAAAGGTTGACTTGCTCAAGGACACACAGCTGAACCAGAGATAGACCCTGGGTCTGTCTGATTCCCAAACAATGACCCTGTAGGTTTGAGCATTATTTGGGGCACCATCATCTTCTGAAACAAGGACAGGAAGGAATAGATCTGAGTGCACTGACTGTGATACCAGAGACCACATCAAGGCCAAGCCACAAGGCCCCAGGAAAAACCCATCCAGAGCAACTAATGGAGATGCATCCTCTCAGAATGTCTCTTTAGGTCTCTTTAGGTCCTGACATTTACTTCCTCTTTCCCTTCCCCTCCTGTCACTCATAAAACCAAGATTTCAAGTCCCAGTGATATGCTAGGTGATATTGTCATTCTTCCAGGTGTCACCATTGGTTGGACCGTGAGGGCCAGAATAAGAACTTCCTGAGAGTCCAGGGCTTAGTAGGCACTGGCCCAGTATAGCCTCTTAGTTGACGTTCATTGTATGGATGTTCACTACACATGCTCATCACAGCACCTGCCATTCACCACCACCTTCAAAAGGCGTCAGTCCCACCCACAAGTGACCCCTAAATATTTCCTTGAATAAGGAGTTGTTTCTTATGGGATTTGTAGTAAATATTTGATCTGAGGGCTGCCAATTCGTAGGCTGGCCATTAGGTCACAATAAAGATGAGCCTGAAAAGTAAGGGCGATAGTAATTAACAAGACCAGCTAGACTTTCTCCCTTTGAAACATCACTCGGAATACACAGAAAATAAACCAGTTTGTCAGATATGAGGAACAAGAAGACATACATAGAAGGAGAGAACCAATGGCAAAGTCCCAGGATTGGTGATGCTTTGAACTTTAGACAACAAACTGGCTTCCTTTGTGACCCAGGCTCTTGTGTTGGCCATGCATCCTGACAATAAATGCTTAGTATCTGAGATAGCTTAACAGAATCTCTGTTTCTAGCAAAATGAAAAGAAGTAAGGACCCGGCCCTGCTTTGGGAGTGCTGACTTCTCACTGATAGACAACCCACCCCTCCTGCCCATGCCTGGCCTGGCTCTGTGCTTGGTTCTGGATCCAGTTGGAATCTTTGCTTTCTGGATCCCCCAGTGCTGTTCTTGGCCTCTTTCTATGTGATAGGTAGCTCTGTGGCCTTCCTCAACACTGGGGCCTGCCAGGTCCTAACAGAGGGACCCCAAGCTCCAAGGGTGGGTGCTGCGTCATTGGACAGTGGGGAATAGTAAGAGGCACCTCCTACTCCCATCACCATCTGTCTTACGGTTTTGTCTTCACACTGCTTCTTCTGACAGCCTGAGCTTGCTGCTTCCTCCCGGGGTGGCAGCTCTGGACAAGAAGCGACCTGTGTCTCTTGGGTCTGGCTCCCTCTTGTTTGTTTGGTGCTTCTCTGGGTCTCAGCTGGCTTCAGGTTTTTTTGTGGCATCCTTTGGTTTTTCCAAGATCTCCCCAGGGGGAACCAGCCACATAGGCAAAAGGAAAGTGGAGTGAGCAGTGAGATTGACTTCCAAAACAGCATGTTGAAGGAGGTTTGCAAATCTAGTGCATTTTAGAAGACTACATTCCCAGAGAATGGTTTAACTCTCTGGTTAACTTAAAAACAAAACAGGGGATGAAGACTCTTTTCTAGAGCAATCTGTTCTTCATGGATGAAGAAACTGAGGATCAGAAAGGCCAAGCCCTTTGCCTAAAGTCACATAGGAGGGTAGTTTCAAATCCACTAAAGAGCTCTGAAATCCTGACCCCTGTGACATTTCTTCTCAACCAAAGACCCTCCATGAATGTTTTATTGAAGGTATAAGCTATGAAATTAGTAGGTCTGTAAGTGAGGTCTCTAGGGAAGGAGTGAGGGGATGAATTGTGAGTTTGTACAAATTGTGGGTCACATGTGTTATAGCTATACGATACAGGGTGATCATTTAATCATTCCATGAGATGTTTATTATTGTATCCACTTAATAAACAGTAACACTAAGGCTCAAGGGGATTAAATAATAATGAAAGTGATGACAGTCATCACTTATTAAGCTCTTGTTACACCCCGGTTCCTTGTTATTTGCATGTTGCAACTCAATCCTTCTCCTACTAACTCTATCAGGTAAATACTATTACTGAGTTAATTCCCTAAGGGCACACAGGCGTGGTTCGAATCAGGTCCTACTATCCCTGCCTTGGAGCTGAAGCAGATGTTCTTAGGAAAAATCAAATTTCTATGTAAAAATGTGTGGAAATTTTACTGAACCAGCATCAAGCATGCAAACAAGTTTATTGCATTTGTATCCCAGATAAACAAACAAGACTCCCTGAGAGGTGGATGAACAAGGTTTATTTCATGTTTGTCTCCCTAGACCACTTAGCATGGTAGGGCTTAGCAAGTGTTATTGAATGGATAAGTGAATGAATAAGTATATTTTCATTACTCTGCCATTAATTGTGTTTGTGACCTTGAGAAACGACTCGACCTCCCTGAGCCTTTACTTTCCACCTGTAAAATACAGAGGAAAAAAGCAAGGTGGCATGAAGTCCTAACCACTCAGATTAACTTCTGTGCTGATTTGTGGGGGAGGGCAGGGGTTAAACCACTGTCCTGGGGCTTCCAGAGGGCTGGAAGAACAATGCAAGGCCTGAACTACTTCAGCATAATTTTCCCTTTCACACCAGGTCCAGTTGGGAATCCCCTCTTAGGAGGAAAGCTAGTCTTAACAAGATGGAAGCCATGATCTTTACTCCCTGGTATTAAAGCTGTGAATATGTTATAATCACATAGCAAAGGGGACTTTGAAGTTGGAAGTAAAGTTGCTAATCAACTGACCTTAAAATTGAGAGATTGTTCTGGATTATTTGGATGGGCCAAATATAATTACATGGGCCTTTACAATCAGAGGAGGAAGACCAAAGAGTCAGTGAGAGAGATATGGCAAAAGAAGAGGAGGCAGAAGAGATAGAAAAGATGCAACATCATAAGGACTAGTCCCACTGTTGCTGGTTTAAAGATGAAAGAAGTGGCCATGAGCCAAGGAATGTAGGCAGCCTCTAGAAGTTGAGAGCAGTCCCCAGATAACAGCCAGCAAGGAAATGAGAACCTTGGCTCTACTACTGCATGGAACTAAATTCTGCCAATAACCTGAGTGTCACCAAACATGGACAACTCAAGGACAGATCATTTGAAATTAGGCAGTTAGAGGAACAAAAAGAAAAAAGGATGAAAAAACCTGTGTGAATTATGGGACACCACTAAGTAAACAAACATTTGCATCATGGGAGACCCAGAAGGAGAAGAAAAAGAAAAGGGGAAGAAAATTTATTTAAAGAAGTAATAGCTGACAACATCCCAAATCTTAGGAGACATACAGACATCCAGGTACAGGAAATTCAAAGGATTCAAGCAAACATCAACCCAAAGAAGATTATGCCAAGACACATTATAATCAAAATGTTAAAAGAAAGCATCAAGAAAAAGATGCTTAAAGAAAACCCCCTTAGGGTTATCAGTAGATTTCTCTGGAGAAATCTTAGAGACCAGAAGGGAGTTAGATGATATACTCAAAGTGCTGGAAAAAAAAACAAAAAGCAAAAAACCCCTGCAAACCAAGAATACTATGCCCAGAAAAGCTGTTCTTCAGAAATGAAGGAGAATAAAGATATTTCCAGACAAACAAAAGTTAAGAATATTCATCACTATTAGACCTGCCTTACAAGAAATGCTATAGGGAGTTCTTCAAGTTGAAATGAATGGAAGCTAAAGAGCAACATGAAAACATATAAAAGTATGAAACTCACTGGGCAAAGGTAAATATATAGTCAAATTCAGAACTTTTAACTAGACTAACCAAGAAAAAAAGAGGACTCAAAATTATAAATTAAAA